CAGTCTGCTTACTTCTAAGTTACTTGTAACCTACAATGTGCATGGTGTTGTAAGTTAGAAGGAAAATATCTAAAATCTATAATTTAACATACAGAGGTGCTTGAAATGTTAGATATCTGTACGTAATGCTGAGGTCACAATTCCCACACGGGGCCCGGCCGGGCAGCTTTTGGGAACGAAAAGTACGGTATAGAAGACAACAAAACACAGAAAAGTTTTTAAGGATAATCATGGGTAATACATCTGGGTAGTCTTAGTCTTGTCATGAATTGTTCATTTTTTGTCCACACAAACAGCCCGGCCGGGCCCCGGCTTGAAAATGTGACCTAAGCATAAGATAGAGTAGAGCTAACCTGCCCATATGCCAGGTTAACATCATTTACTTATTATAAGCTCCTGTCACACATTCACGAACGTCCCACGAATTCGATCCCAAACGCCAGCCGAACAGATTTAGACCACGCCTACCTTTTGGTAATAACTCAACAAATTTGAGTTAAATTGGAGAAAAGCTTATTCTTGAGTACACCCCCCCCCCAAACACTGCTGACTAATTTACAGATGGTTGGCCAGTGCTTTGCTAACTTCAGGTCGAAAACCAGCCAACTATGATCGAACCTCCCGAACGCCTCACGAATTTTAAAACATTCGCTGGTGAAGTTGAACCGTAGCCGAACGCCAGCCGACCCACTCCTAACCATGGTTGGAGGACAAATTCGGCTCTGTGCGACAGGGGCTTTTGTAAAGGATAATCGTGTTTGTGCACACAATACTTTTAAAGCTTTTTAATAGATCTGCGATGCAGTTTTGGTACCACATACATGTGTTTGTCATCTTTGTGTCTTTGATGGGATCACTGGTGAAGAGAGTTCAAGAGACTCATTGGAAGTCAGACTGGTCAAATGCTGACTTTTTCACTCATGTACGGCAGAATTTACCCATACTGCTTTGCCACGCTTTCAGTACCTCACAGTAGCATAGATGATATATGGTAACCCAAGCTTAATCTCCAAGCAGATGTTTTGGCGGTTGTAAAGAAAGAATCAAATTCGCCAGGCTGTACACATTGGTGTACAGCCTGGACAATTAAGACAATTAAGTACCATTTCGCCATTTTAGGTGACGTCTGGCCAACCTATACAGTGTAGCCAATTTTATACTGTCTTTGCACCAAAATATTTGCTTGCACAGGCAGTTGTTTACGTTTTGTGATTAGCTATACGCATGACCATATAAAATTGTGTAAACACCACAATCTGTCGTCGATGAAGGTTAGACATTCAGGTAATACGATACGCCAAAAAGCAGTTACGTATACTCAAGCAACTGGATATGATTTTGGAAACGGTCAGACGTTTCAGCTAGTATCCACTAGCTTTCGTCAGTGACTGAGAGACCAGAGGAGAAATGCAGGTTTATAAGCACAAACTATTGATTGATATGCAAATAAAATGAAGACACGTTTTTTTGGAAGTCAAAAAGGGAACAAAAGTCAAGACAAGACAATGCAAATTAGTCTGAAAGCTCCTGTTTTACAAAACAGGAACTTAAGTGTTGTCTGTCCTCGGGTCTGGGAGCGCCAAATATTCAAGTGCCGGACAGTTCCACCCGTAGCCCCTCTTCCCTGTTGATGGTGGGGTTGTACATTCTTTCATGCAGTATGAGTTTACAAAGCGTAAAGCTGCAGTTCTTGTTCATCTTGATGGGGGTCGCTCCGTTCTCACCCTTGAATGACCCCTCGACCTGCCAATAACCCCGAGTGTGCAAAGTTTAAGTTGTCGTAGCGTTCTCTCTCTTTACGCACATTCCAAACCTTCAAACCTTACACTAGAGACGTTAAATATCTGTTTTTTGAAGTCAGAATGTACCAGAAACAGGACGACTACGATGAATTTGGCGAGGAAACTATCATGCATACCGAGTACAGGCCGAGAAGGAAGAAGAACCGCCGTCCGTTGTTGCTATGTTTCTGCGTCGTCGCCGTTTTGCTGGCCATAATCATCCCGGTAGCCGTGGTGACCAGCAACAGACGCCACGGAGCAAGCGGGTACGTAGTACAAAAAGGGGGGGGGCATGTACTCTCGAAGCAGAGGTTGTGGGGGAATGATCGTTAGATTTTCATAAATGGCTTTTTTGTCGCTACCCCCACCTTCGGTTGCTCATGATGAGCCCTCTCCTGAAAATTGGATACCCTAGGATCTGCTTGGAGATTAGGCTGCATGCATATGCCCTTTGCCTGGTATGTGCCTTTTGATCAAATGCCTTCAATGTTGGAATAGAAAAAAAAAAGTTATTGTCCCCCTCCCCCCACGCAGGCCCTCACCGGAGTGCCCCAGTGGTGACGAGCGGGAGAGGGTGGACTGCTACCCCGAAGGAGGGGCGAGCCTGTCCCGGTGCGAGGCAAGGGGATGCTGCTGGGACCAGCCCGCCACCCAGGGCCCGCCTAGCTGCTTCTACCCCACCAACCACGGGTAACGTTACCTCTTCATCTACATACAGAATTTGTATTTCTATTAAACTAGAAATGAATTAAAGTAACGTAAGAAAGCAAATGCAAAGTGTTCACCCACGTTCACAACTGGTCTAGCCTAACAAACTATTGTTATTCGAACAGATTCATATACTAGTTCAATACTAGTACTATGTGTGGCGAGCAGCTCTTTCAGTTCTGTCTTGCTACGTACTAGTAATGTAACCCAACACCGCAGGCTGTCTGCAACAATGCCAGTTACCATGGTGACAGACGTCTAGCCCAGGTCATTGACCTCATTTGTTTGGAAAAGAAGAGGACTTCAGAAACTGAGCTAAACAATATGTTTTCCTTCTGCGAAAGTAAACATAATGAACTTAGACAATTACATTCGATTATTATATATTCTTACCTTTTTCTTACTAATAAAGAAACGAGAAGAAGCCGATTTCACTTAATTGCAGTTAGTGACAACGTTATTTATATTTTTGTGATCTGTACTTACCTCAGCGGTTATGTGCTTACAATAAAGGTTTCATTCATTCATTCATTCATTCATTCATTCATTCATTCATTCATTCATTCATTCATTCATTCATTCATTCATTCATTCATTCATTCCTTTAAAATAAAAACATAACAATAATATAACAATAACAACAACGTGTGTTGGTGTAGCTACGAGCTGTCAGGGGGCCTGCAGAGGACTCCTCTCGGGTACATGGCCTCCCTCCACCGGCTGAACACTCCGAGTGCGTACGGCAACGATCGGGAAATCATCGAGGTGGAGGTGGAAATACAGCAAGACTACCGACTCCACCTGAAGGTAATTATGATGCTCTGTTTGTTCTTCCTCTTCTTCTCCAATCAAATAAGGTCAATGACCTGGACCACACGTCTGTCGCCATGGCAACTTGTAATTATGACAAGAGTCACGACAGTGCCGCAAACCGTTAGCCTCTACCAGGCACCGCGGATCGCTGGAAAAATAGGGTCGCGAATTGGATCTTCTGTGCTATACTATCTCTTTAGTTCGGCCAATTTCTGCTATTTTTCCAGCGATCCGCGGCTCTTGGTAGAGGCTAGCAAATCGTAAGATAAGGGGAAGATGTGATGAAAGGAAAGAAACAGGACAGGACGACATCTGCTGTTCCACTGATTTACTGCTGTTTTCATGACGAGTAGAAGACTTGGTTGTAGCACTGTGCTCTCTCATTTAATTTGTGTCCTAACATTTGTAGTCCTTTATAGTATTTCTAATCTAGGCATCTTGTTTATTTGGCCCTTCATGTTTTTTATCAAGCTCTCACATTGGATTTCAGATTCCATAAAAATATACTTGGTGTGGCCTAGCCTTCAATGGCCAAATGTATAAACTTAATTTGATCTCTTTGTAAATGGTGTTTTGAAATAAAGTTCAACGTTTTACTATGTATAAAATTAATGGTGAAATCTGCCCATCAGTTGTCTGACCCAAAGCACCCTGGGTACGAGGTGCCCGAGGCCGCTGTGAAGCGCCCCCTTGCGACGACCTTGGCGGAGCACCCTCTGTTCAACTTGACCTTCACCAGTAAACCTTTCAGCATCAAGGTCACGAGAAAAAGCACAGGAGCCACCATGTAAGTTTTGATAGTACTGTGTGCCTAGTAATTCTGCCAGTAACTGTTACCAGTGAAATATCGTACAGTACTAAACCTGCACATTTGGGTACAAAATAAATGAATGAAGACCTTTATTGCACATTTCTGCCACACTTGGCTATTATATAGTAAGTACAGGCTGTTAAACGTCCGGGTGTAACCGTCCAATATGGCGAATAATACTTAGCGCAAACGTCTGTCTTCTCTTTCTTCTCTTACTTCCGTCTATTCTCCACGCCCAGATTCGACAGTTCTGTGGGCAAGCTGACGTTGTCTGCCCAGTTCCTGTCTGTGTCCACCCGGCTGGCCAGTTCTAACCTGTACGGACTGGGGGAGCACGTCCACAGGAGCTACAGACACGACCTCAACTGGAAAACTTGGCCGTTTTTCACAAGAGACTCGTCACCTGCAGCGGGGGTGGGTACTTTAACTCATGACACCAAAAAATGACCTTAACTGATTGTAATTGACATAACTAGTATTACCTGGTTAACAGGCACATTTACAATAAATATGCACGGTTCTCCTGTTACATTCGAAATTCTAACGGCCTACCTTGGAAAAGTCAGCACAAGCTAGTACTGGCAGGTGACTTGCATCTCTACATTTTATTTTTGCATGTCTATATTTGTTCCTGAGCTGACGTCATCCAGTAATGTCAGCTCAGGAAAAAGCATAGAAACGCAAAAATAAAACATAGAGATGCAAATAGAGATGGCCGAAGTGGGCAATTGGGAAGCTTGCTAGAGAGTCTCAGTTTCTCAGTCACCATGATTGGAACAAACTATACTGTATGTATACTTCCGATAGTTGTATGTATTTCACAGATTTTTTTTGGTGTCATGAGCACTTTCAAAGTTAGACACAATGAAGTCTGAGTATGTCCGACTATGATTGAAACCAATCTAGACATCAATCAATCAAATTATATTCATAAAGATCTCGCGGGCAAATACCAGAATTACGTCCTTATTACATACTAGGTACATTACGCATTAAAACAATGATACACATAAAACATGGCAAGTACACTATTAAGACATTTTAAAACGAATACACAATTAAAATCTATACACAATATGCCGCCATTACGTAGAATTTATCTAGATGCTAGAGCACTATACTGGTACATTGTCTTGTTATAGACGAGAACAGCGCAATGAAGGAACGAATTGTCTCTTTGTCCGGGCTTTGCTTAGACTGATTGTGCCAGACAGATCGCGTTCCAATGATTCAAACCAGCCAATGTGTATTACAGGTGTCAGTAGCAAATTCAGATTAGCTCTAGACTGGTCGATTGTTCAGTTTACTCGCTTGTGTCCTTTTCGAACGTAGTTTGTTGGGTCGTGATGCTTGGAGCAGTCTTGAGCTGAATATGGATGGTCTGCGTTCTTAAAGTGATCTGGGTCTCCATTTGGCCACGCCTGGTTAGCCTCCGGAGTAGCCTTATAGAACTGGGGGTTTGATGGTCTTCAACTGTTCTGATTAACCCAGTTCAAAAACGGGGGTAATCCAACCAGGCCGGCTATGTAATCATAAAATAGCACATAAAAGCTCCCAAAGACCCCCCCCCCCCCAAATTCCCAGTTTTTGGCATGGTATGGAGGCTAACGTCTGGTAGTATTACACAGAATTTCTGGCCATCTTTTTTGCAGGACTCGGCAAACCTGTACGGACAGCACCCGTTCTACATGTGCGTGGAAGAAGACGGAAGCGCGAACGGCGTGTTCGTACTCAACAGCAACGCTATGGGTAAGAATTTCGCTCAGTTTTGTCATATCACAAGTGAATGACATGGTTGTTTGGGGCTTCTCTCTTCCCCTTCTCTCTCCCTCCCTCTTTCCCTTCTCTCTCTTTTGCTCTCTTTCTCATTTCTGTATCTGTATCTGTTTTTCTCGTACGTAGTCTGATTTGCCATATTTTGATATTTTTTGTTGGTTGCATAAACCGTTGTTTGTTTAGAATTGTTCTACAACAATACTAATGGTGCTATGATCTGTTGCCCTCAGTCTTTCTTGTTACGGTCAGAGTCTATTTAAAAAATTTGGCCCATACTTTCTTCGTGCTTTCGCTCTAGATTGGCAGAGTCTGCAGAGGTTGTCTATCAAATTTACCTTCAGTAACCTCGATACTTATAGTCTTTTAATCACTGCGTGTAGGCATTTAATTTAGAAAAAAATTTCTACGTGTTTTTTTATAGCTGTATGTTTTACAGACGTGACCCTCCAGCCGGGCGCCCCTGACTCCGCCCCCATCGTGACGTACCGCGTGATTGGCGGGGTGTTGGATTTCTACATGTTCCTCGGACCCTCCCCGGAAAACGTCGTGCAGCAGTACACAGAGGTCAGTGACCTTTCTCAGACAGATAATTTATGTAGAGGGTTGCCATGCCAACCGTGACGTACCGCGTGATTGGCGGGGTGTTGGATTTCTACATGTTCCTCGGACCCTCCCCGGAAAACGTCGTGCAGCAGTACACAGAGGTCAGTGACCTTTATAAGATTACATTGCGACATATACAATGTAACATTGTAACAAAGAGATTGCGACAGATATTATACGTAACGGCTTTTCACTTTTCAGAAACCTAATCATTTGACTGCCATTATTACGTGTTACAAATCACCTTGAATCCTAAGAAAGAATAAAGAACAAACAAAACAACGTCATCTGCCACTTAAACGCTTAGTTTGCAATTTAGAACAGCTTTTGTCTATTTTATGTTTTTTGTCTTTAAAGATTATTCGCAGAAAGAAAGCATATTGTTTGCTCAGTTTCTTCTTATTCCTCTTTTTCTTCTCCAAAAAATTAGATCAATATGACCTGGGCCAGTCGTCTGTCACCATGGTAACCTGTGCTGTAGCAACACCCTGTGGTGTCGGGTTACATTATATAGCAGAACAGAGCTGGAGAGCCTGCTCACATTTATGAATGTCTCATACTTTGAGTAAAAATAAACAGTGGGTACTTCGTTGAGCTAGACCAAGTGAAGGTAAACATTGTGCATTTTCTTTGAAAATGTTACCTTTTTAGTTTAAACTTTTGTTTAATCCCTTATAAGGTGATCGGGCGTCCCATGATGCCTGCGTACTGGGGTTTGGGGTTCCAGCTCAGCAAGTGGTTCTACAAGAACTCTCGGGGCCTCAGGGAGGTCATTCTGCGCACGCGCGCCACGGGCATTCCGTACGTAAGCACACGTCATTGTTTTCCCGAAAGTTCCAAAAGTTTCCAACGAATCCTTGGAGAGAGCCCCGATGTACAAATGTAGAATAGCCTGGCATTGCGACAAGTGATGATGATGACAACTAAAATAATCTGTACGGAAATGCAACGAGCACCATTGTCAACGAAAGGCTATTGGTTGATATGGTGGTTGTTGCCTTTTTGTTGATGGTGTTTGTTGCCATTTTTGTCAATTATGTCTGCTGCCTTTCATCTTTTTATCGATTTTCGATAGTTACCTTTTTGTTGATGGCGTTTGTTGCCTTTTTTTTATGATGTTTATTGCATTTTCCTGGATGGCGATTGTTGCCTTTTGTTTCTTTGCTCCCTCAGGATGTCCAGTACAGTGATATAGACTACATGGAAGACCGGAAGGACTTCACGTACGACGGAAACAATTACGGTGACCTGCCTGACGTCATCCGTGACCTGCACAACAACGGGCAGAAATACATCGTCATTCTGGTCAGATAGAACTTGGACTTATTCAAAGTTAAAACTTTAGATTCAACACAAAACGTTCTCTCACCTAGAGCTTTCGACCAGTCTCTCTGGTCTTCCTCAGTAGACTGACCCAGTGGGGCTTGTCACGTGGTTTCTTTAAAGTGCGACGTCAACACTGGGTCAAAGGTATCTGGTAGACCATGTGTTGTGTTGGATCAAAAGTTTTAACTTTAAATATGCAACTACCAACACAGATGAACTTTTATGATAAAGCTTGGACTTGTTCGTGCTCTTAAGTGCTTGTGTTCATCCTTTACCAGGAAGCTGTAAAGAGTAGAAAATGGCCAAATAGTATACTATTCACACTGCGTAATCACTGGATCATCCTTAATGAGTTATGGAGCAGTGCCGGAGTCGCGCGATGAAAACAAGTCCCTTCATATCCACTTATTATTATCAGGGTGGGGTGTGGGGGGGAATCAAAAATGCCTGCTGTGTTCAAGCTGGCTTCAACCTTCCTCCCGCTCACTGCTTCAGGGACCTGTCTCCACCGCACTCCCCGGAGGGCGGATGTTTCCAGTAAATGCACAGAGTGAATGGGCTATCAGCCCCTTATATGGGGTGTGATGACGTCATTGGCGGATTGATCCAATAATTAAGCAGTGAGAAAAGTATACTATTCACACTGCGTAATCACTGGATCATCCTTAATGAGTTATGGAGCAGTGCCTACGTCGCTCCTCTCTTCCGTCTATCCCATCTCATATCCACCTTTTCCTGTCACCTCTTTACCCAAAACCCCATACTCATTCCCACACTAATACCTCCTCTATACCACAAGGCGTATTCTCCTTTAAACAGACCGTCTCAAATTACCTATGTCAGACATGAGGCGATAGATCCCATTGTATTGTTCATCTTTCTTTCGACCGAATGGACTGAGGCCAACCTCTTTCTTCAGGATCTTAATATTCCCAAATGTTGTGCGCTGTCTGACAAAGATGCATTTGCTATTAGTTGGTTCCCATAATACTACTTCGCATGCCATCGGCTCGGCCTAAGTGTTCCCCGTAGTATCCATCGAGCCCAGTACTTCTTATCCTTATCTTATCCGACCGACCGTGGAGTCTCTATAAGAACCTGAGTTCCTCCCATGATTCTCCCGTACCACGTTCAGCGCTCTCCTTAACATTCGAGTACCTAAGCACTTTCGTGTGCTAATCTCGCGACCATACATCAGTACATACCCGACCATAGCTGTAAAAAATCTTCCTTGAGTGTTGGAGTCGTATCCCTTGCCATTCTACGCAAAACTTTCCAGATATGCGTCTGTTTCACAATGATGTCTCGAGCTGCTGAAACGATTCACTTTCCTTCTTCAAATTACCCCAAACTGTGCACCCTCTAGAACAACTACCTCGTTGTCTTCCAAATCGGAAGGTATTGGTTTATCTTTACCGTGCACTGCAGGTCAATCCTCTAACGCAGATGGAAGAGTAATACGAGTCCTTCTGATATGTCAGGAACCGGCTCTAGGTCACCCGCATAGTCTACCCCCACTCTTGTTGTTAACTCTCTTTGGAGCAAACCCAACTGCTCCCTTTTCTCGTTGATGATACTTTCAATACGATAACAGGAAAGTATCATCGTATCGCTCTGCGGCACACTTGCCGATATTTGAAAAGACTTGATGTTTCCTGGGCCCTGACCCCAGTCTATGCCCACAAGGTGCTACGTATACCCTTGACGACACCTGCATATATACCTTCACCGCCTACCCCACATTGAAACCAAACTGCGAGTTTCCCTGACTACCATACTGGTTTACTTTCGCAAGTAGTGTCGGGTTACAATCCTTACAAACCACCCTAACTTAATCATTCTTCTACCCTCTGTTTCGGCCGCATGACTCGGAGAGATAGCACACCCCTTGAACATTTTTCTTTCTCTAAGCTTCAGTTTCCACCGGAACTTCAGGAAAGCGTTACCCATCGCAAAGGGGTTGCCTGGGAACTTTGTCCCTCCCGTAACACATAGCTGACCACCGAAACCTCCTCAAGATTGCTCGGGAATTGCTCCGTGAGGGAGACATGACCACTTAAAATCTTTCTCGTACAAGCCTTTCGTCCAGCCTATTTTCCTAACCTAAAGTATCTATACCTCCCCAATCTTAATCTGCCCACGTGCTTGATTCAAGCTTGGAGCTCTTGATCGCAATTTGAGTACAACATTCGCTTTCCCCTGCCTAAACCTATGATTATCACCCCAAAAAGAAGACTACTTCGATTGAGTCCTTTCTGATCCTCTGCCCATGTACATATGTACACCTCTCTCGCCGATCTTTCCTTTGTCACGTGGAACTTGTACGAGTGATCACCGAGGCCAGGATTTCCGGTCTCACGATACCAGACCCATAGATTGCCTTCTGAAAAGATTTTTGCTTCAACCTCGTCCTTGTCCACACACGTCCTTTCACACGATGAATGACTCGTTCTTCAGCTGTTTGAGATGTTCTCACTTTATACTAGATTCGAGCGCCACCGTTTTCTTCTCTACACTCCCTGGGTCTCGAATGCATATTTTCACCTACTGACAGCAAACAAAAGTGACTGCGGGTCGTTCATTTCCACTTGAGCACTTAATGACTCCTTGTTAGCTTTGGAACAATCCTCCAAGTCAATGATTGGCGACTTCTTCTTTGCTCCATTACCGTAGAGTCGACGTTGACCAATGGCCTTGTTACATTCCCCATGACCTTTGACACGGCTCGGCTTCCTTCAATAACGCCCTGTCCCGATCTGATAATTCTCTATCCGGTCGCCAGGAATATCACCAGTAAAATTCGCTGAGAACTAGTTCACTGGGAACTTCAACCTTCCCAATCCGTCACAGTTTACAGATGTAGCATCGTTGCAAACTCCCTTATCTAAACGTAGTTCCCGTACCTTGTTACCATGTATTATCCAAGACACTCGGTGCACTTTATTCTCGAAATCAGCGGCTGCATGGGAAACCCACTGCACCAATTTATTCTGACACCTTTATCAAACCACCCTCTGGTCGTGCCATTTCCACCCTAAAACAACCCCCTCACTAATTCCCGTTAAAATACGGTGTGGGAGACGGGCGCATCTGAGAATGGCGCTGCTGGTCACTTAACTTGCCCCTCTATGAGTGCTTGGACTAGCATGTGTCAACCACTCCCTTGAGGAAATTCAGCAAAATTACACCTGCTCGACTTAACTTCTATAAAGCTTGCCGTGTGCACGTGCCTTCATACTCGGTCACCCCTCGGTGTGTGCCCGCACTAACAGGTGCTAACGAAATTTCAATCATCTAGAGCTCGCTCGAACCACTACATAGTGGACATCGTCTAAGTGACCTAACCAACATCGACCCGCTTTAAGACCTGCATGAAGTTCATATCCTGCGTGTTTCCTCTCAAGTGGCCACATCTCCTACTACTTACACTGACGTGCACTATCCTGGGTTCTGAACCCCTCGTGAAGTGTGTTACTAATCTGTGTCCCCAGTCTATGTTCGTGCTGAACGTGTTAAAGAATACCAACTGGTCATGAGACAATAATGACCATTACGCACACAAACGTATCTTGTAATGGTCGAGAGATGCGTTGACGCTCATCTGTCCCCCAGTAAGCCTGTACGTTACACTGCCTCCACGTTACCCAACTACGCACACTAGCGAACACAACATGCCCGACACGTATTCTTTCAGGCTCGCCGTATGAACATCCCCGTTAACACGAGGTGCGGGTCACTTCACCTAAGACTAAGATGAACATAACCTGTCCGACATAAAACACGCAGCGCTCGTCATGTACGCTACCGCCCAACTATCCACGTTGTACATTAAGATTGTCTCTAAACTAGGCGAGACCTATGATATTGATCTAGCCCTTCCGGCTAAATATGGCTAACCATACAACCCAATCCCCAGCCTTATCTTGGTGCCTCTCTAGGTGCTACCTATCACTCCGAGGAGGACCTCGTTGCACGACTTGGCTCCTATAATACTCCACATGTGTATTATCGCTCAACTGTCCACCGTCAACAAGTTGTGCCAGACGCACGAGTAAAACTCGACTGCCATAAGGTGTCCGTTGTAACACCTGCGTCTCTCATTCTGTCTCTCGCCCCAAGCATCCGCGAGTGGTCAGCATTCAAGTGATCAGATAATTGACCAAGGGCCACGTCAAGCATGACGTCCTGACGTAACTTCTGTAACATTCACCATGCGTTGCTGCCCGACTGCCTAGTAACCACCAGTACTGTTCAAGCAAACGTGCCGAAGAAAACCTAAAGGGCAACGGCGAAAACGTGCGCAACGATGACACTTACACCACTCGTCATAGGAGTTGCCGCTCACCAGCCCTAAATGAACAAGTGTCTACCCGAAACGTGCGAAAGACCGGTACCACTTCATCAATAACCTCGAGGACCACAACATGTCCAATGTCACACCATACCTGTCATCTTGCGTGCTACTGTTCTGCCAGCCAGTGTTCTCAGACCACTACACTGCGCACATCATGTACGAGGTGGGACCTTCACTGCTCTTTGTGTGTTGCCGCTCATCGACCGCTTATCCAGCGTTTGCATAACCGCTGCCAAGGATCCTAACCCGGGGACAACGATGCATCCAGCGTGCCAAACGTATAAGTCCCACCGCTCGTCGTGTTGACGCTTGTCGTATCCACCACCCGTGTGTGTACACCCAAGAAACGTGCTAAAGCCCACTCGTGTAGGCACAACGCCGAATATCCCATGCACAACGTAAGTCTATGTGTGTTATCACTTGACTGTTCGCCCACGAGTGTACGCCCAACACCGTGCCAGAGACCACTCAGACAGGGACAGTGATAAAAACCGCGAGCACGACGTAAAGACTACAACGTGACGCTCGTCCTGCGTGTTACTACTTGACCGTCCCTTCATGAATATACGCACCAAGCCGCGCCAACGACCACTCAAACAGGGACAGTGAGACGCCACATGCACGACGTAAAGACCACAACGTAACGCCCGTCAAGCGTGTTATCACTTTACTGTCCATTCGTGAATGTACGCACCAATCCGTGTCAGAGACCCCTCAAACCGGGACAGTGACAAACACCACATCTACGACTTAAAAGTCACACCGCTTGCCATGTGTGTTACCGCTCGACCATCCTCACCCGAGTGAACGCCCAAACCGGGCCAAAGAACACCCAAGCAGGGACGGTGACGAACACAACATGCACGACGAAAAGATCACACCGCTCGCCATGTGTGTTACCACTCGACTGCCCTACCCGAGTGTACGAAAAAAAATACTCAAGCAGGGACAGTGACGAACACAACATGCACGACGACATATCACACCGCTCGCCATGTGTGTTACCGCTCGACTGCCCCTACCCGAGTGTACCAAAGAACACTCAAGCAGGGACAGTGACGAACACAACATGCACGACGAAATATCACACCGCTCGCCATGTGTGTTACCGCTCGACTGCCCCTACCCGAGTGTACCAAAGAACACTCAAGCAGGGACAGTGACGAACACAACATGCACGACGAAAGATCACACCGCTCGTGACTGTGTGTTGCCGCTCGACTGCCCTACCCGAGTGTACCAAAGAACACTCAATCAGGGACAGTGACGAACACAACATGCACGACGAAACGATCACACCGCTCGTGATGTGTGCTTACCGCTCGACTGCCCCTACCCGAGTGTACCAAAGAACACTCAAGCAGAGAACAGTGACGAACACAACATGACGACGAAAAGATCGCACCGCCCGCCATGTGTGCTTACCGCTCACTGCTCCCGCCGAAGTGTACCAAAGAACACCTCAGAGAGAACAGTGACGAACACAACATGACGACGAAAAGATCACACCGCCCGCCATGCGTGTCTACCGCTCACTGCTCCACCGAAGTGTACCAAAGAACACCTCAGAGAGAACAGTGACGAACACAACATGACGACGAAAAGATCACACCACCCTCCATGCGTGTCTACCGCTCACTACTCCCACCGAAGTGTACCAAAGAACACCTCAGTGAGAACAGTGACGAACACGACATGCACGACGTAAATGCTGAAGTGCTGGTCGTCCTGCCAAAGGTGTCCGCGAAGACGAAATGCCGGCACAGCGCTCTGTCGGAGATACTGAAAAATACGAAACAAACATAAAACTCCCGGCTGCCTTCCGCTCTGCCGATGTCGCGGAGCCGGTTGGCTGCTAGTGCTGTAGAGCCGGTTGCTGTGCGCTCTGCAGATGTTGTAGAGCTAGGTGCCGAATGTCCTGCTGATATCGTTGCGGTAGAGGAGCTCGCTGTAGAGGCGGGAACTGCGTCGTTGTTAGTTGCGGTCCATGTCGTCGTTGTTCACCTATCGTCTGGTGTCTACTTCTGCATGTCCTCGGTGGGTAGTTTTGCAGTCACTATCACTGAATAGGCACAGAACAAAACAAAACTTCAGACTACTGAAGCGTACCGCAAATTACTTAAAATACCCGCCCGAGGGAGCTCACACCAAAACAATCTAAACCACCCTACGAAAACAACAAAATTACACGGATTCCTTAAACCATTCAAATGCAAATGCCCACGTGTAAAACCCCACATGGAAAAAAAAAACCCGCCAAGATCTTGCGGATACCACTTAAAACCGCTGCTGTGAATTTATCCCTGGCGGCGGCGGAACCTGCTGCTGCGGTTGTCGCACACTGCTGAGTACGGGGTTGGAGGACGGATACCCTGCTGTTGAGGAGCCGCCGGTCTCACTCCCTGCTGCCCGGCATCCTGCACTCCCGCGGTAGGTAGTCTTGGTGCTCGTGGCGTCATATCTACATGTGCAAACAATGTCCATTATAAAAGACGCCAATCCCACTGCAAAACTTACACTACCCACCCGAGGGAGTCCCCACCATAGCGGAAAGAGAAGCCCCGTACAGCCAAAGGACCAAGCGGCGAACCAGCAAGGCCTGAGACTCCACTCAGGTACCCAATCCCTGCTAAAACAATCACCACCCCAAAACCAGCAGACAAAAGAAAAATGCCTCCACCATTCAAATGCAAATGACCCAGGTGTGGAGGACCACGTGTAACGCCCGCTAACGGAAAATTCCAACACGAAAACTCACGCATCCAAAAACCCGCAAAATTCTACACCCCAAAACCTCCACTAAGCTTGAGGTGCGAAAAAGAAAACAAAAAAACAACACACTGACAGCCAAAACTAAACTCTCCCTCTAAGAAAAACCGAACTCACTCTAACAAGGCGCGCCTACCCTACCCGCTAACTGTGGCGCCACAAAAAACACGCCGAAAATTCTGGACTCTCACTACCGTCTACACTAGCCAAACCTTGACCAAACTGGTCAGCGAGAATCCTTGCAGTTCTCCCCCAGGCACTCCGGTCTCCGCTCCGTGCTTCCTTCCTTGTCGAAACGCTGTCGTGCTGGTCGGACGGTAGACCTCCACGACGCTGCGACTCCAACCGGTCCGGGGGGATGTTTCCAGTAAATGCACAGAGTGAATGGGCTATCAGCCCCTTATATGGGGTGTGATGACGTCATTGGCGGATTGATCCAATAATTAAGCAGTGAGAAAAGACAGGTAGTTAGTCATAGACAAGCCAGGAAGGCAGTCCAGAGCAGAAAATGGTTCTCTATCAGCGGACTAACCTGGCATCTTGTTATCTGGCTTTTTTTGCCAGCTGCCCTTGTTTGATTGAGAAATTTAGCTGCCTTTCCAGCTCAATCAAGTTTGATAATATTCACTACACTTCCACACTTCTTCATTACCATATTTCCAATGTAGTTAATGTTAACTTTCCATCCATTATATGGGAAAATGTTTGTAGACCAACTACTACACTGTCAACATTTTCTTGTTTTTGGTTCATTGCCTTGCTTTGATTTTTTTTCGATTTGACAATGTTTCCTCTCAGAGGATAGTAAAGAAAAGTTTAAAGGCATCATGTGCAGTTTTTAGGGCTCGAAAAAACCCGAATTTTCAAAGTCAATATTCTAGTCACTTATCTACATACTGAGATGAAATCACACTGTCTTAATGTATAGTGACCCTCATGGAGCAAAAATTTCCAAATTTCTGATGGAAAATGGATACTAGAAGGGACCTTGGCTGATTTTTAGGGTACCGCCCAGGAAACAAAGGACTCATCTTGGGGCTTGTTTCTGCAGTTTTGAATGCCTAAAGTATGAAATGCTGATTAAAATGGGCTAATGTAAAGCAGTATGTGTCTGTATCATAAAGATTGTCTCATTCAGAATATTTCCAGTTTCGCTGCCCTGAAATCTCATTGGATGCCTTTAACGTTTTTTTTTCTACCTGAAGGACCCGGCAGTGAGTACCCAAAAGCGGCGGGACGGGTCGCCCTACGTCCCGTACGAGATGGGCAGGAGTGCCGGCGTGTTTGTCAACACTTCTGACGGCAAGACTCCGATTGTAGGGCAGGTAAACCTCAAGATCTGTTTCAAAATAAAATAGTACTACAGAGTAATGAACCCAGTAGTAAAGTAGTAAACTATGGACGCCAAAGAGCTCATCATACACTAGGAGTCCATCCAGGTGTAAGTAGAGTAAACCTTTCACTCTGGTCTCCGGTTTAGCATCATGGAAAGGTCGCAGTCTCTTCCTACGTCAATCCTTCCATAATTTCGATTTGATTTGATTTGTTGAAATTACAACAGTCCAAAACACGCGGAACAGAGGCAGCTGTTGCTGGTGTTGTGGTTAGTGACGCACATGGAAACGAATACTGGCCAGAAAATACTCATTTTCACTTGAGTCTAGTGGGGAAAGTCGTGTAAAGTGCCTTTCGTAAGGGCACAAGATCGGTGTCATGTCAGGACTCGAACCCGGGACCTTTTGATTCCGAGTCGCACACGTTGCCGCTGCGCCACACAAATGTGGCGACTCTCAATAGATTGACATAAAAATGGTGTCTTTTGAATGCAAATGAATCAAATATTTAACCTTCTTCTCACTTACTGCATCCAGAACTATCTAGGCATAGATCTTTGCCTGAATGGGCTCGGATGAGGATCAGGCACGCGGTTCTTGATAGTCTTTGTGTATCTCAGAAAGTAAATTTGCCCCAGGCACGGTTCTGGGTACGCGTGGCTAGAACTGTGCCTGAGGATGGTTCTGGATAAAGAAGGTTCTGGATTAAAGCAGGTTCTGGATTAAAGATGGTACTGGATTAAAGATGGTTCTGGATTAAAGCAGGTTCTGGATTAAAGATGGTTCTGGATAAAGAAGGTTTTGGAATAAAGATGGTTCTGGATAAAGCAGGTTCTGGATTAAAGATAGTTCTGGATAAAGCCGGTTCTGGATTAAAACAGGTTCTGTATTAAAGATGGTTCTTATTAAAGAAGGTTCTGAATTAAAGCAGGTTCTGGATTATAGATGGTTCTGGATAAAGAAGGTTCTGGATTAAAGCAGGTTCTGGATTAAAGATGGCTCTGGATAAAGCCGGCTCTGGATTAAAACAGGTTCTGGATTAAAGATGGTTCTTATTAAAGAAGGTTCTGAATTAAAGCAGGTTCTGGATTATAGATGGTTCTGGATAAAGAAGGTTCTGGATTAAAGCAGGTTCTGGATTAAAGCAGGTTCTGGATTAAGCGGGTTCTGGATTAAGCAAGTTCTGGATTAAGCAGGTTCTGGATTAAAGCAGGCTCTGGATAAA